GGGCAGGTACGTCTAAGGGAGACTAGGAGGGCTGCAGTCGCCTGCATGGGTAAGGATCTGGAATCCTCTTATCTGGAGCCTGGGACTAGTTGAGGCCAAAGTCGCCTCTTAGCACATCTCCCTGTATGGGGCACCAAAATCTCCGCCTGGGCAGGGCAAAGGTGTTAGTCAGCCAGGGTCCCTCGAGGACAAGGGGGCCGGAGAAAGCCAAGGCAGCGGGTTGTTCTCACTCCTCCTAGGCCACTGGCCTACACGCTGCAGGAGTGAAGGAGGGGTCCCTAGCCACCCCCAGAGCCGTGAGCATGTGTGTCCCCTTTTGGCAGCACCCCCCCACCAGAGCTGGGAAATCCCTGGCTTTGTGGCTGGGAGTCTCCCCAGAGGTGAGAATCCACAAGCTCCGCTGCTCCCAGGTCTGGGAAGAGCATCCTGCACGAGCTTCTCTCCCTCATCTGCAAGGGCCCTGAAGACACCCGAAAAGTAAATGCTGACTCAGCCAGTCTGGATCAGGTCTGAACCAGTGTTTCTACCAGGCTCTGGGCCCACCCAGCTACCAGTGGCACGTTGAGAAACCAGACTGTTGATGATGCTACTTTTGCGGCATGTTTTTTTTTTCCTCCCCAAAACTTATTCTTCAACTAATCTTAAAGAAGTAAATAATTATAAATAGGTACGATGACTGATGTTCCATGAGGATATTTGTTAGGGTGCTCACTGCTAGTTGAAGACCTCCCATGTTCCAGGACCTGGGCTAAAGGTAGATGTCTACAGGGAGACAGCTCAACCAGCACTCCCAGCACAGGTGGTCTGCCCCTGGGAGAACTCCCAGAGGAAGTGTCACCAAGCCAGTGACAGCACAGGGTGAGTTGGGAGCCCCGTCCAGGACCTGCCTCACCTGCTCTTACCCCGACGGACCTCTCCAAAGGGCTTCCCCTCCATTGTCAGGGCCCACGTAGGAAATGATCATACCCGTGGGAGGTGAGTGGGGGGGGATGGAGGTGAGTGAGCCGGGGGATGGAGGGGCTCCCCCCCCCAGAGACCCCATCCGGAGGCCCTGCCAAACCCGCTCCGCAGGTCTCCCCCAGAGGGATGCCCGCCACAAGGCCACCACAGGCCACGTGGAAGGCACTTTCTGAGTTTCAAGTCACTTTCACCTAGGTTTTCTCGTTTGAGTCCCCAGCCGGGGCAGGCGTCATTAACCCCGTTGCACTGGTGGGAAAAGTGAGCCCGAGATGACTCAGCAAGGCACAGGGGCCCACGCTGTCAGCACCCAGCGGGGACAGGCCTGCAGACAGCATCCAGGGCCGGCCCGCAGCATGGATTTCACAAAGAGGAAGATGCAGGATGTGGACGTGGGTACCTCCCTTCCTGGGGAAAAAAATGGCCACTTTCCGTTTTTCTTAAGTGCCCCAGATTCTTCCTACCCTCGCACTCAGGTGATATCCCAGGGACATCGACAAGCAGGGGTCCTGAAGGTGCCTGTCATCTTTGCTTCTCTGCCAAAGCAGCACAGCCCTGTGAAGGGAGCAGTAGAGCATCAGGAAGTCACAGGCACGTGGAAGAAAGGACTGCCTGCAAGTTGGACTGCTTCAGGACACTCCCAGGCTCCTTCGAAGCTGCAGCAGCTATAGGAAGAAAGCAGGAGGCACGAGGCCCTGGCCCAGACCCGGCCCCTCCATCAGCAGAGCTCTGGAAGGAGGCCACTTCAAACACCCACGCTGAACAATGCTGCAATATCTCTTTGTTTCCAGGGAGGTTTTCAGTGAATAACAGCTGTCAACAACTCAGGAAGGCCACGGCTGGGTCCAAGGCTTTCTTCTTCTGCAAGTGCTCTTTTATAAACTTAACACGGCTCTTTTCATCAAGGGCAAAATAAAGCATGTGCAACTATTCCAAAGGGGCCCAATGTTCCCGCCTACGTCTATACCTCTGTGCTGTGCTCACGTCTGGAGGTCAAGCAGAGGTCCTGCCTCAAGAAAACTGGGTTCTTAAGTATACTCTTGAAGGAGGGGTTTCTTAGAACCTCCCACCACCTGCTAGAAGGCTCCTTTTATCTCAGTCAGGGCTTTAATGGAATAAGTGGGCGTCAGGGGCCAAGGAGAGGGAAGGACAGGAGCTAGTGTTTAATGGGGACCGAATTTCATTTTGGGAAGATGGAAAAGTTCCGGAGACAGATGGTGGTGACGTTTGCAGAACTACATGAGTGTGCTTAATGTCCCAGACCTATGTACGTAAAAATAGTTAAAAGGGTAAATTTTATGTTATGTATATTTTACCATAATAAAAACCACACGAGAAAAGAAGCTTCAAAACAACTTAAAAAAACTTGTCACCATGCTGAAAAGAATCTAAAAGGTTTTACAAGTTCATTATGCTGCTCTGTTTCGTATTCAAGAATAGACCGTTTGATTTTACCTAATTATTAACTCTGCATTCAAAGCACCTGGCTTGCTGCCCACATGTGGAATTGATGGACACCTGGGATGGCCACAGCTCAAGTGCCCCCAGGCTGGGCCTGCATCTGAATCACCACTCTCTGTCCCCTTGTGCTTCTCCCAGAAGTGCTCTGTAGTACTCTACAGAGTGCCCATCCTCTCATGTCCCACAAAGGGTTCAAGCACCCACTGCATGCCTCCACAATCGTGTCTCCTTAGTGTGCCCAGGTGACAGGCAGCAGGGGGAGACAGACTGCACAGGAGCCGCACACTCCTGTCCAGGGAATGAGGAGGGGCAGCCCTCCCAGACAGGCACAGATAAGAGGCCCTTGTCTGCACCCAGAGGAGGACAGGACCCAAGGGTCCTACTGCCCTTTCTCTTGCCTCCAATCCAGCAAACATTATCCAAGCCCAGCTGACAGATCCAGCCCAGACTCACTGCCCTCCCAAGTTCGGAGTCTCTCCCAAGTCCCATTCGGAGGAAGGAAGCAGAACCAGGCAAGGAAATACCATGGAAGAAGAAGTTTGCAACCTATCTCCAAGTCCGAGGTCTCTGGCCTTACCATGCTGTAGAACTTGCAGGGCTGTGAACAGTCAGATCCATGGCGTCACCCCATCTCTTTGGTTCCAACTCAGCACATGGGGAGAGGGTCTGACAATTCCCTTGCTCACAAGTTCCCAGGTGATGCTGATGACGCTGGTCCAGGGCACAAGTACCTTGCTCTGAACAACAGAAATGTTTCTGCCGATGCCTCCCATGTGCAGAGACTTGGCAGCCTTTGCTCTTCACACCCCTCCTGCCAAGGGAATCAGCACCCGCTTTTACAGACCAGAAGCTGGGACTCAGGAGCTCAGTGACCTCTCTTGTGATGCACAGCTGATGCCTGGCAGAGCTGAAATGTTAACTGAGGTCAGGCTGAATGGAGTCCCTCGTCCACTTCCCTTCCCATCTTATCTGGAGACTGGGGCAGGCATCGAAGGGGCAGGAGAGGGTTCTTCACAGGGCTTCAGCACTGACACATGCAGACAAGCCAGCACCACATGAGCTGGTGGAAAACCCAGCCCCGTGGCCCCTGGATAGGCTAGCACCCCTTGCAGGGCAGACATGAGGCTATAGGCATCTGGTGTCTCAGCACTAGCAGAGGCCATGCACTGAGCTGGGCCACAGAGACTCAGGTGACAGGTGGACCTTACATGAGGCTTGTCCTCAAAGGGCAACAGGGCTGTCATTTGAATTACACGGCAGCTGGCCGTCCTCAACTCTGGAGTGCATGGGAAACTTGGCTATGCGGTAGACAAGGTCTATGCTCTGGAGATGGGGTTGGTTGTCTGTGGGCCTCTGCCAACTCAAAGGAGATGTAGGGAAAGAAACCACTGTCCAGGGCAAGCCCTGTGAGCCAGACTGCTCCTCATACCAACCACCTGTGCTGGGAGGACAGTACAGAGAGGGGAGTGGCTTGTCCTAGGCTGCACAGCAACAAGAAACTGGGGAATGGGTCTTGAACTTGGGTCTCCTGGAAAACAAAGATTGTAACTAAACTCTGACTGCCCTCCCAGAACCTCAAGTTCAGTGTGGACCGTAAAACCCTCTGGCCCAGCTTCCCATTGTGCAGATGTGACAGGCAGCCTAGTCAGAACTATCACAGACGAGGCTCCCATCTCCAGAGTACAGAAGTGCCTAACCCTAACCCACCTGGGCCGCCTTCTCCAGAGGACTCTGTCTGAGCAGCAAGAATGTTCTTGATGCCCTAATACCTTCCCTCCAAGGAGGAGATCAGTAAGAGCAGGGTCTCCCCTGCCCCATGTGGCTCTGAGCCACTGCCACCAGCCACACATAGGGGTCTTCCTCCCTCTCACCTACTTCCTTTGCTGGGCAGAAGAAGCTGCTCCCAGTCCAGGGAGAGAAGGCTTTTCAGGAGGCACGTACACCCAGATACCCTGAGCTGGAAGCCGCTCAACCTGACCTGTGATGGCAGAGAGCCTCCCAGAGCCATGGACACTGTCCACAGGAAGCAGCAGAGCAAACAAGCCCACCTGCCCGGCCCCAAGACCACTGCACACCTGTGCTGCAGGAGGATGGCCCTCCTCACCTACAAAAGCCGGAGGCCAGCCCTGCGCTGCAGCCCCGGGCCTCCAGGGCCCTCTGTGTTCTGTCTCAGCACTTCTTTCCACATGGGCCTGGAGAGCTGCCCCCAGAATTCCACATTTGCAACCCCCAGTACCAGAGAAGCCCTGCAGGGCAGACTGGGCTCAGCCTAGACTCAGACCAGTGTCTGCAGGAGTAATCTACCCAGGCAGAGGACAACGAAGGCTTTTTGCCTGGGGTAGTGAGAGAGACTTCTCTAAATCCTGTAGCCACCCACCACCCAGCACACAAGGCATTGTCATTTTTCCCCTCGGTGACCCCGGGCACCAGACACAGCTGGAGAAGACGCTGTCCTCTCTGTGCTGGGTGTTGCGTCTGGCTTTGTCTGATAGTTAGATGTTTTGTGTCTCCACGCAAATGCGATATAGACAGCTCATGGCTGGAAAAGCAGCACTCACAACCATTAGCGTGCACAGCCTCTGCTCCCAGCTCACTGCTGCCGCGCAGTTGGGGGGTCCGCCTTCCTGGGGCCTCAATCTGTCTGCACTGCTGCCACCGTCGCTAACGGGAGGGAAGCCAGAACGCCCGGGGAGACCAAGTCCCAGCATGCGGCGCTAAATGAAGGCAAGCAGTTGTCCAAAGTGAAATATTGAATTGAAATGAACCTGCTGTTTCTGGGAGAAGATGCTTTTGGCTTAGGCCACTTAAGAATAAAATCCAACCGACACATCTGTGAAATCGGAGGAAGGAGTACCCTGAAACGGTCGGCTCACAGCACCACCGAAAGCCATTCTGCGTGACTTCAGACACCTGATTTCAATGGGCTCAGACCTCAGTCTGTGGAGGTCAGGGAACCGTGGGTGTTGTCACACCCGTGTGTTTTCACTGAGAGAGGACTGGAACCTTTCAAAAAGTAAGGCTTTCCCAGGGTGACCAGAGAGGCCCTGGGCCAGCTGGCTGTGGAAATCCTACTAGTGACCCTTCAGTTACATCCACCCCAATCAACGTGCACCAGTCCTGACCATTGACTCATGCGCTCGTTTTCAAAATGTTTGCTTGTACGCTCACTTGTCTGTCTCGGTCCATCAAACCCCCAGAGCCGGACACTCTGGTCTCATCTCCATGCCTTTTGCCCTATTTGCAGGAGGGGAGCCACTGGGGCAAAGCTGGCCAGCAAGGAGAGAATCAGGGATACGGTTGAAGTTGCCAGGCAGTAGACCATGATGGAGCTCAGGATCTGAGGGAAAGACACAGAAATAGGAAGAGAAGTCAGGGACACAGGAGTGAGGGCCAGATGAGGCTCAGACCCACCAAGGATCAAGTCCAGCCTTGAGACAGTACCTGGGCAGCAGCCTCTGAGAGGAGTGCACAGACACATAAGGCCCACCCCATAGCTCCTGCCACCACAGAGCACCCACTTCTCCCAGGTGACCACACAACCTTTGTTCAGGTCCAGTGCTGCAACCACTCCGAGACTGGCCATTGATTGAAATTAATAAATGTCAAAAAGGTAAATGAAAATTATTTAAATAAAACTGGATTTTAAATATAAATTTATGAAAAGTAAATGAGATTTTAATAAATATCCTTGTAAACAATACCTCCTGATTCTAGCATTAGAATAAATTGGCATCGCCCAACGTCTTGCCCTTGGACCTACTCGGCTACCAGTTCAGAAATCATAGAAACCGTGGGAGGCCACTCCACACTCCTCACGGCCACCTGTGATTGCTGCGACGCCATGTGACTTCCCACATCTTCAGGAGAAGGACCCTACTGGAAGAGCAAGGTCCACACAACCTTTGCTTCAGCTCCAATGCTGCACCACCCCAAGACTGGCCAGGGCTGGAACGAGCCCCCAGGCAGCTGGGACTCTCAGAAATTTCCTTCTTCCATAGAGGATGGCTGATCCAGAAACCGAGCCCTGCAGAGCCAGGTAAGTCACACCAGAAGGCAAGAAGAGTCACCCCAGTACCCGGGATGAGTGGTCAGTATGCCCAGAAGACTCTGCCAAGGGACACCTGACCTGAGTCCCGAGGTTCAGACCACTTCACACGGCCCCTCTGTCGCCTGGGGTCCAGGGCTCTGGGCATTCTTAACCCTAAACATCCACCCCCATAACCATGGCCACTCAGGCCCCAGGAAACGCGTCTCCCATCCATCTCCACATTTTGTGCCTGGTCTTGGAATGAAAAAGAAAGCCTCACTGCCTCCAAGTGCCCCAGAGTTCTGCAGGTCATACTAGGACTGCTGATGTCCCCCGGGACGGTGGCCCAGGAGGGGAGGGGACTTGAGCAGCTAACCCAACACAGGGAGGAGGAAAGACAGGAGCCCTTGGCCTTCTCACTGGGTGGCAGGAAGGAGGAGCAAGTGACACTTGCATAACTCAACCATCCAGGAGAGCTGCTGCTCTAACTGCTCCTGGAGATGCGGGAAGTCACACGGCGTGGTGACAATCACAGGTAGCGTGGCCATGAGGAGTGTGGAGCGGACTTCCACGGTTCCCATGATTTCTGAACTGGTAGCCATGTAGGTCCAAGGGCAAGACATTGGGCGATGCCAATTTATGTCAGTGGCTGGGTGGGAACCGAATGCTAGAATTGGGAGGTATTATTTACAAGGATATTTAATAAGATCTCATTTACTTTTCATAAATTAACATTTAAAATCCAGTTTTATTTAAATAATTTTCATCTACCTTTTTGACATTTATTAATGCTAATTTGTACTTTTGCCTTTCCAGTTTTAATGTTTTATAAGAAAAAATAACTCTCTTTGAAAATATATATGAGAAAATACATTTTTTATGTTTTTACATGTACTTTCACATTTGTGATAAAAATATATTTAAATTGTGCATATTTCAAATACATTAACATTTTTTTTAAAAAAATCCCTTAGCTCATTGTTATAAATAGAACAAAATTATGTGAAAATGTTCATTTTTAATGACAGGATTTGTGGTTGTGATGAAATGAAGGCAAAAAATTAATTTAGAGAACTATAGAGTAATTATAAATTATGTGTATCTTTATCTTGTTCATCATTCAAATAGAACAAAAGGACATTTAATAATTAATTCAGTCATCTTTGATATCTGCCAGCTTTGGGTCATGTAAAAAACTACAGCTTTACACATTTTTCAGTTTTGTCTTGAAATATATGAAAAAAATATGTGACTATAGACTTTTTTTTAGCTTTATTTTGTTTGTTTATTTTTATGTGGTGCTGAGGATCAAACCCAGCGCCTCACACATCCTAGGCAAGTTCTCTGTCACTGAACCCCAGCCCCAACCCCTAGATTTGTAAAATATGAGAACAGAGCATATTTTATTTAACTGCTTGTAGGCTTGATTCATGTTCCCGTGTGCAAACTTTAGAGGCAGGTGCTACAGGCAGGCTCTGTGGTATAGAAAGAATCAATCCTCTCACCCTACAAACACAGAAGACCCTGCTGCACATTTTTCTTCAAATAACCAACTTTAGAAACTTCGAAGCACCTTCAGCTTTTATTCACAGGGTCTTGGGGCCTGGCAGGGACTTTCCTCACTGGCCTGCATGCCCCATGCAATGACACAAAAGCCATCCGTCAACATTTGTTAAAGTCCCTGGTCAACCCCACACTTCCTGCTGGGACTGCCTTCTCACACTTGGGAAGAGGACGCAAAGCCCCAGCAGAAGAGGCCTGGACAGTTTCACCAACAGCCATGACCCCCAGCAGACCTTACTAGCTTGGATGTCACCAGGGTCACATCTGCCAACTGCCGCAAACTGCCACCCCCACCCCCAGCAAAAGCATGTGTCTCTGGAAACAGGCCAGTCTTCCTAGGCCTCCTAGACACGCTGAGGCCACTGAGCCTTGCCGTGCAAGAGAAGGCCCGTGGACAGCGCCACAACAGCTGCGAGTCCTTTGTAGCAAGAAAGCCAAGAGGCGACACAGCTTCGTCACCAGGAAAGGAGAGAGTTCCAACCACCTTCTTGCCCGCATATAAAACATCCATTCCTCCCAAATGGCCAGATACAGTCTTGTCTTTGTCCCTAGGAGCCAATTCTGGACCCAGGCTGCCGCAGGCTCCTGCCCAGCCAGGGCCACAGTGCACTGACTACTCAGCACACTAAGTGCCTGCACCAGGCTGTGCGGGGGAGCTCTGCTGCCAGAAGACCCCTCCAATAACAGAGCCCCAGGAAGCATTGGGGAGAGGCCGTCCTGGTAGATTAGGGCGCAAGACTCACCAGGAAAGGGAGGCAGGCCTGCGTGGGAGCAGCCCCCAGGACCCAAGGGGCACGGGGTCCTTAGGAGGAGGGGGCGAGCCGCTGTCCTCCCTCTCCACACTTTCCCCAGCGGGTGCCTTGCTCCTTTAGCTGAGACCCCTGCATCCCAAGAAACTGCCACTACCACATCGGCATATTCAGTTTCTCAACTCTAGAATAAGAGAGGTTTTTTCCAGGAATTTCAGGGTCAGGAAATAGGGAGTTTCCTATGGTGAGAAAAAAGAACAATATGTCCCTGGTGGAAGGAATAAAGTGGATGCTCCTGAAATCACTCAAAACCTTCTAGAATGGATTTGCCATGGATTTGCCAGTGTTGGTCATATCATTCCTCCAGGCAAATCTTGTGGGGATAATAATGCCCCAAAGCATTTTCAAATTTTGATTAGAGGTGAGCGGCGCAGTGTATGGACACCGGAGCAGACCATGGCACGCACCCCTGTGCAGAAATGACTCACCTAGGAGCCACGCGATAACCAGAAATAGTCATCACCCCCTACATACGTTCTTTATCTTTCAAATAAACAATTTAGAAAGAAAGATGCCAGTGTTTAAAAATATCAATAAAATAATATATGAACCAAAATTTGCATTTACCAGACGAAAATGCTGCACTCCTGATTCATACTCTGTTTCACTGTGTTAAATTTTTAACATAAACAAAATCCCCAAGCAGTGACAGAATGACAGAATTGAAGTGGTTTGGGTCTTTGTCTTTGCATTTCTGTGCTATCATTCTCCTTTTAAGTCTGCAAAATTGTTTATCTGTCCTTTGAGAGATTCTTCTCATGTACAAATTTCATGTGTGTACACACATGTAAGTACATGTAAATGCTACCTTTTAAAATATTTTAAGTGTTCTGCAACTTGCTTACTTACTTGAACACTGCATGTTGGACATTGTATGATATGTCCTCTATTAGATCATACACTGATCCAACTTCTTATTGTTGATAACTGCATAATATTCCATTCAATTTTGATACACCCACTTTAAAAAAAAAAGAATATGTTGTATTGAGAAGGTGGACAGATGAACTATCTATAAAGTGAGGAGAGAAAGTTCCAGTCTATTATGAATTTACTCTCAAAATGAGCCATGTCACTGAGCAAGCACGGACTGGGGGCCAGCTGTTTTCCACAGAGAATGCAACTTCTCCTGAAGGATAAGTAAGTAATCAAAAGGCACCACAGAGCTCATTCATTTTCTTAAAACTCAGCAGCTCAACAGTAACTGTATCAATTGTTTAGAACTTAGAACAAATTCTTTTTCATGGAGAGGGAAATCCTCTCACAGATACTAACCCCTTCTTGCATGGCGATGATAAACAGTAGTCTCCGAGGCTGGTTGGTTTTTCTCATGTTTAAATTCTCTAACTGTGTCATCACTGGCCCCAGGGAAGGCGCCTGTCCCCACTCTGCCCCGACTCTGCCTCGGAAGCCTCTGCGGAGGCTGTCTCTGGAGTGCCTTCTTCTGCCTCTCCCACTGTCTAAACTACGAGCGTTCACCAAAGCTATTGGGTCAACTCCCTATTTTGAAACGGGCTGGCCAAGTTGAAGGGTGGGTTTCTATAACAAATCCAAGTCTCCCCGGGGATTCCTGCCCTCGAATGCCAGTCCAGCACCAGCTCCCCTGAAAGACAAAAAGAACATCGTGTGGACAGCCTCAGCCCAGGTCCCACAGAGGAGCGCTGGCCACACACCCACCAACGTCCAAAGCTCCACCTGATCCAGGGAGCTGCAGGTTCAGGGTGTCGGCACCTCCTTTTCCAAATAGGAAAACTAAGGTCCAGCAAGGGGGGGGTGAAGTGCTGGGGGCCTCACAGCTAGTAAGCAGAAGGACCCTGCTTGCACCCAGCCAGCTCAGCTCTGGATCTGCACCTTGGACAATTCAAAGTCAAGCATGACCACTAATCCCCGACACTCCAGGATGGGGAGGCTTTTCAAGTTTATTGGATTTTTCTCCCTTAGTTGAGGGATTTGAGCAGCAAAATAGCAGCAAGACTCTGGCAAGAAAGATGGACTTTCGGTTCTCTTTATGAGACTACCTAAGAATGCGTCAGAGAGGGACATAGGAGTGACCCAGTGGCTCTTCCTCCTCGCCAGGCGTGACATCCCCCGTGCACCCTTCCCACAAACACTGCTGAGCACGTGTGTGCACCATATGCCCACCCCCAGGAAACTCCCCACTTCCATTCTACACAGAGCCACCAAGAAAACTACCCCACTAAGAGACAGCAGGACACACGCAGGCTCGCCTGGGTCTTTAGTGGACGAGCCTTCAATGTGGAAAAACATCTGGCTGTCCCCACAAGTAGGAGACAGAAGGAGCCCCGTCCAATTAATGACACGCTTCCTCCCTGCAAATTCTCTCCCCAGCAAGGATGCACTTGGCCTGGGGGTTGTCTAGCCTCTTGCAGTGCTGGCCTAGCAGTTTTCTGCAGGGTGCTGGCCCTGGCCTCTTTTATTTCCTCAACTGCTCACCCCAAAGCACAGCCACCTCCAGAAAGGTTGGCACTTCCCAAGTACAGAATCCCAAGTTTCTGAAGCCATCTGGCAGTTCCAGCACTCAACTTTTCAGGACCGACACAGCGAGCTGGGCTTCTGCTACTCCAGGGATGCTCTCATATTCTGGAGACTGGAACCTCAAGCTTTGGAACTCAGACCCGTTTCCTTCCTAAACTCCGCTCCCAGCTGGCCTCCAGCAAGCCTCCTCCACAGGGGCCCCAGCAGGAGCAGCCCCAGTGCCTCACGGCTGGATCACTGCATGCAGTCACGTAGAGACCACAGCTGCTGCCTGGGCGAGCGACGGCCAAGAAGAGTTCAGCCTGAGATACTGGAAAGTTGAGGCCTGAAGGGGGTTTCAGGCCTTCTTTGCTTCCCTTCCCCTCAAGGGATCCATGTAACGGCTGAGACTTTCCCCCTCCTGGGGGGCAAGGGGGAGGGGGCTGCTGCAGTGTTTTGTGCCCCATTTACTCAGAACCCCCTGCAGACTCCAGAGCACCACAGGGGCTTCCCTGAGAGGAGGAAAGGCAAGGTCCCCTCCTCGGCTGTCTTCTGGATGACACCACCTCTGCTCCGCCCCTGTGGTGGCCGCCCTTCCCTCCTTCAAGCTCTGAGGCCACTTTCTCCAAGGCCAACCTTTCCTGGCCAGGTACCTTGGACAGAAACCCCTGCTGCTGCAATGGTCCAGGAATAATGTCCTCCCTTGGGTGCCTCCACGGAGCCTGCAGTGTCCTTCCCCCTGCACCCAGGTCATCAGAGCTGGTCCATGAGCCCCTCATCGTCACCAGGCTGCAAATCGCCTCTTTTGAAGAGCTGGTTCTGTGCCCACTAGGCTGCTCTTGGAGGCCTCCTGAGGAAACTGAGGCATAGAGAGTTGAAACGGCTTAGCCAGGGCCACTCGGGCAGCAGAGGTGAAAAGCCAGACCTGGGTGCTCCTGACCTACCTCTTCGCCCCACGCCACCATACCTCCGGGCAAAGGTTGAGAGGGGCTTGCTCTTTAGAAATGGAGCCTATGTATACTAAGGTGGAGGTGGCAGGTCAGGGGTGGGCTTTGGGCCTCTCTACAGATGCACCCACAGCCTGGTTTCTATTCACGGCTCTTCCCAAACACACCTTCTATATCCAAGTCGCTCAGCAGTGACCAAGAGACAGCGTAGCCCACGAATCACAGATCCCTGTGCCCAGCGAGTGCTGTGAACCTGGCTTCAAAGGAGGATTCCTGTCTCAGCCTCACAGCTGAGCCCCCATGAGGACCATCCTCATCTTCCCCACCCTTCCAGGGCCTTGGGCCCTCCGTGTATGCCATATCCAAGACAGCAGCCATTCACCACAGTGACCGGCAAGCACACGGTTCAAACTGAGACGTGCCCTAAGAGCAAAATACCAGATTTCAAAGACAGCCGGGGGGAAAGAATGTCAGACATTCTTAGTTATAAGTTTTATGTTGACTACTAAGGAAAATTGCAATATTCAGATGTGTAGATATAAATAAAACCTAAGGCTAAAATTAATTTCACTAGCTGCTGCTTCTTCTTCTTCTTCTTCTTCTTCTTCTTCTTCTTCTTCTTCTTCTTCTTCTTCTTTTTTCCTAATGTGGCTAGTAGGGAATTTGAAATGACACACGTGCTCTGCATTACCTTGCTCCTGGACAGTGCTGCTTTAGAGTCTTTGCTCTCCATAAGGAGCAGGATCACTCTCCATCACCCAGGATTTGCCGGCAGACACTCACAAAGCACCAGGATGAAGTCAGGGGGCCTTGCTGGCTCTCGGGCAGACAGGCTCCTGCTCCTGGGCTTGCCTTGTCCAGGGTTTGTCTGCTCCTACAGAGACATAGAACCGCTTTCACTGAGGCAGAATCACATTCCTTGGGGATATTTTGGAGAGACAGGTTGGGAGGACTTCACAGAGCAGAAAGAATGTCCTGGATCTCAAGTTGGGGTCTCTAACCTGACCTATAACCCAAATAACGGCGGCTTTTGATAGGGAGATCCACAGCTTCTCGGAGATGATTACACAAGCACCCATGGTCCAGGACTGTGGGGCAAGCTGCACCAACTCCAGGACCAGGCACCTTCCAACTAGTTACTCTGCCAAGAAACCAAGTCCTGACACCAACTGCACAGCCATACCAGCCAGAAAGGCAGGGGGAGGCTGGGTGTGGTGGTGCACGCCTGTAATCCCAGAAGCTCAGGAGGCTGAGGCAGGAGGATCCCAAGTTCAAAGCCAGCCTCAGCAGAAGCAAGGCGCTAAGCAACTCAGTGAGATCCTTTCTCTAAATAGGGCTGGAGATGTGGCTCAGTGGTGAGTGCCCCTGAATTCAATCCCCGGTAAAGGAAGGAAGGAAGGAAGGAAGGAAGGAAGGAAGGAAGGAAGGAAGGAAGGAAGGAAGGAGTCCCCAGTCACATGGTCCACCAGGCAGAGAAGAAGACCTCACTTTTAGCTGTGTGTCCAACAAAACCTCAGGGCTTTTGGACCACCAGAATCAGAGATATGGGGAATCAGCTCACATTCTCTACCGCTGAGGTGGACGTCATAGGTAGGTAGAATCTAGTAGGTGGAGAAAAGCGGGGAGATACCAGGCTGCCCCAATGGTGGTAGCTCCACACCTCGGTGGAACAAGGCCTCGAGAGTCAGCATGGCCAGGGGTGTGAGGGAGCCATCTGGGGGTGGAGAATGGCCATCCTCTAGAAAGTGCTTCTTAACAGCCAGAAGCATGATCTAGCTTCCTGAGCTGCTTCTGGAGAGCAGCTAAACATTCCTCTCAAAGCTCCGGGAACCTCCTTCTCCAGGAAGAGAGTAGATTGGGAGTCAGGGGCCAAAGTGCAATGAAAGCCCCTGAGCCTGTGCAGGAAAGGGCTGGAGGGGAAGAAGAAGGCCCTAGGGTCAAAAAGGGAGGCTGCTCAAGGCTGGGCACTACAAAGACCCCGCCAGGAACAAGCTGAATGGTCGAGAAGACCAGGAACTGCTGTCTCACTGCCAGCCTGGGTATGCCAGCCAGACTGTGAGTCTCTCCAACGAACTCATCTCTGAGCCCCTGTTACACCTACAGAGACTTCCATGACCTGTGGGTTTCTTGTCTGTCCCTCTCACCAGAATGTGACACCCATTGGACTGAGGCTTGCCCTGCTGACTCTTGCATTCCCAACACATGGAATAGTGCCTGTCGCAGAGCAAGCACACAATACATATTAGTTAGATGAATAAATGAATGATTGGCATCACAATACAGCAGTTTCACAGCACCCATGAAGATACCTGAGAATACGATGCTCTGGTGACAAATTACTACCAAAATTGGTGGCAGACACAGTGATAACAGCAATCTCTGTGCAATACTTCACCATTGGCCCGTGTTCTCAGCAGGACGTTCTCCATTTACAAATGAAGGCCCTGACACTCAGCCAAGCTGCTGCACCTAAGGCCACCGGGGAGGAAGACACAAACCAGGATTCACACACATGTCTTCCCAGCTCCACAAGCCTGTTCTTTCTACCCAATCTCTGGACTCTGGATCAGCCATAGATAAGCCCACATCAGAGGCAGCAAGGTCTCTAGTGCAGGTGTTGAGAAAATGGGTCTTCCTAAGGAGAAAGACAAACTGGTCTTCACCAAAACTTGAGCAGGAGCCAGGTGCCATCGCAGGTGCTTTCTGTCTGCTGCCCCCCTTCATCTTCATGGTGACCCCATGAGACTATCACTTATTTCCATATGGGAGTTAGCAGGACTCTGAAATTGCCTTTGCTGGTCTCTAGATGCCAGATCACTGAACCACCAGAGAGGAATCGGGAAATCCCAGTGTTTGGAGCTAGCGGGAGCAGCTGGAATAAGAGGGAGACAGATGTGTTCCAGCCAAGAAAAAAACCTGTGGTGGGTAAACAATGCCGGATCTTTAGTAGGGGATTTAATTTCTCCATATGCATTTTTCTTATATTAAAAATGGTTTCAGCACTAACCCCTCCACCCTCGGTGGCACGGTATACATGCTGCGCTAACATCTGGAAATAGTTGGTGGTATTACAAACAAATAGTTAAGGAGTTCACCCAGATAATCAGAGACAAATTTGACTCTAACTCAGATTCAAAACAGCACATAGCGAGTGAGCCCTGGGCTCCACGCTACACTACCCTCCTCTGTAGCAAAACGAACATGGCTGGTTCTGCTTCCTGGGCCTGGAAGATGTGCGATCATCAATCTGTTTCCCACTGCCAGGCTCAGTGCAATTCAGCAGACACCAGGCCACAGGAGCCCAGGCTGGGCAGGACCCTTCATGAGACAGGGTAGTGACCGAGAAAAACTGGAGGAGGCTCAGTCCAGGGAGCCGGGGGCAATCGGAGGACAGATGGGGGCGAGGGTTGGGAAAGGTCTAGGACTGAAGGACAGCACCAATGACTAGGCTCCAAGTGTTGGAGCCAGGCCATCAAGAGGACCAGCAACTGCTCAGGGGCTGGGTCATGGAAGCCCAGGAAGCCACAGTCAGGACACAGGCCAGGCTCCCAGTGCTAGGTAAGACACTTGCTCAAGGCTACCAATGGAGTCAAGCTAGACAGGCACACTGAATGCAGATCCCCACGGGACTGAACACACTCACAGACCCGGCACCACAGCCTGGACCTCCTTGCCTACTGTGGCTGGACTGTCCCCTTCCTTGTGTGTCCCTTGCCTCCAGAAGCCCAAGCTTCATCCACGCATCACCTGCTCCCTGCTTCAGCTCACCTCAGTGGACCCCATCGGCTACTCCCAAGGTGGATGGAGATCACAGTGTCACTGGGGCCCTCCCATTGCTACCACTAGACTGATGATCTCCCAAGGAACACACCTGCCATGTCCACAGCCCAGTGGTACCAGGGCAGCCGGCGGGTTGCCAAGAGACCAGAGAAACCATGCTGCAGTTCATGGTCATGTCAGTGCCACATGAGCGAAGAGTCCAACCGTGGCTCCTCCTCTCTGGGGCTTGGTAAACAGACATAAAAAAGCTGGCAGGTCAAAGTGACCTGAGTAATGCTGGTGATGTGGCCTCACAGCAAAGAGCTTGGGACAGGAGACCCCCTCTGAGGAGGTGCATCTTCACTCAGACCCAAAGCCAAAGGGCTACTATTGCCTTGGCAAAAGCAAGATACAGAAGAGCAGGGGCTGAGCCAGCTGAGGATCTTCGCCATCCACAGTGACCATGTTTAAAGGGAGGGCGGCTGACCCCACTGGCTGGCTTGTGGCGTGTGGAGGTAACTATGTGGGACATTGCTCTGTACTCCCATCCAAGCCCAGGGCTCCCCGCCTGTGCCAGGGAGCACCTTCCTGTCCTGCACAAGCATCCACTGGCGGTGATGATGCCAGCTGCCCCCCTCTAGACTGCCCCATCCTGATCCCACCTCCATCACACAGGGACCAGCAGACAAGTCACTCAGAGTCTCCCAGCTCCCTCCCTTCACCCCAGAGGCGAGAACACAGCCCTGCCTTCTATGGCTGCCTTGGATGCCCGAGGCCTGGGTGCCCAGGACTAGAATGCAGTGTGCCCTGCACATCAGCGGCTGCCCTGGCTTTGGATTTGTTCACTCCCCGGTGGATTTACGCAGTGTCCTACATTGCCTCTCTGGCCCGCCGCACACGTAAGGGCTTAGACAGAAGCAGACACAGCTAAAAACCAGCTCCAGCCCTGCGAGGCCCAGCCTATGGGCACATACTCATGCATGGAGGTCCTGTGCAATGGCCGAAACGGAGCGTCCAGGCCGGGGACGGAGGGGCCTTGAATGAATACAAGCGTTTCATCTTCAGGTGGAATCTGCTCAAACAGGAGCACGTTGCCCCTCCTTTACCCACAGCCTTTGCTTCCCCCACCCTCAGGGTCTACCTGGAGTCCAGAAGGCAGTGAGGGCTCAGAGCGAGGATGGTCCCTCGTTGGCATCCTACTGGCTGGGCTCTGCAGAGGCAGCTCTGCTTTCTGCATTCTGAGTCCACAGCATGAGAACGGAGGCAGGTTCAGCTGGCCTTCTTTAATAAAACAAAATAGGCTCAGCCACAGTAAGTTGGAAACTGCCCTCTGGGGAGCAGCTGCCCGCCTCTGACACACTCCCTTGAGACTCACGCTTTTAAAAGGAGATTTAAAATCCACTGATAGTAAATGCACTCTTCAATCACATCGCCACAGACTAGGCCAGAGAGTCGCCGTGACGGACTCATGGCCCTGCTGCGGGTCTCCTCCCTTCCCCCCTTGGCCCCTAGGTCGTAACCAGCTTTCTCGGGTTTGGGGTGGTTGCTGCTGATTTGGTTTGGGTTTTTCCAGGCATTTAGGTGATGCCTGCCCTTTTCCCTGCATCATGGACTGCCTGGTGCCACTTAACACGAGGAAGCCAATCACAATGCACCACCACCAACTGGCCCCACTTCTAGCAAAAGCTAAGGTGGACCAGCCTCACCCCTGTCCCAAGAGTGCCAGGCCCAAGCCTCTGGTCACCATCCCATTCTGCACAAGAGGGAGTAAGAAGAAAGACACACCAGGCCTTCCCCAAATCAGCTATGGCAAGGACTGCTGGTGGCCAGACAAAGCCAGACCACTGCTCCCCAGAGCAAGGCCTTTTCCCTGGGCACATGCCACCCAGAGAAAAGATGGCATTCCCAGCCTCCTTTGCACCACGGGAGAAGCTAACAGATGGTGGGGTATACACAGAAGGTCCTGTGGCTGCATGTTGAGCTGCTTCTTTGTCACCCCCCTCCCACTGGCCTGAAATGTGGAGTCTCCTTCTTGGTTTCCCTAGGTTACCAAGGCTGGCCTGGAACTTGCCATCCTCCTGCCTCGGCCTCCGAGTCACTGGAATGACAGGCGTG